TCCGAAAATTCTAGATCTCAAATCTTCTTCGTTCCGAACAGATATTTTTCCGAAAATTGTCGTTGGGTACCCCTGGTTGTTCCTCAGACATTTTCAGTACTCGTGGTGGTAACATGTCGTACAATGTTTCCTTTTTGGGTTTAATTTCTTTCAATGCTGGAGGAGCTTCATGCCGTTAAATTACTTTTTTTAAATCTTAATGTATTGGATGTATGCCTGGCACTTACAGCTACGACGCCCTCGTGGTAGCTGCACTATAATTCCGATGTGGTCAGCAATGGATTGGAGCGAAAGTAATTTGCCAGGAGACTCCATTAATAGTCTAGTTGAAAAAGGTACTGAAAGTCTCCACCTGTGGCGCATTCATTCGTCAAGGCGTAAACACAAGGGGGATTTCCTGGCCTTCTGAACCAGTACCATTCCCCGGTCCCACCTAGAAAGTCTCGCCTTCGGCACTCCTTGAGGGCGAATTTCTCATCCATATTGTTTTTCACTCAATTATGCCCACCTACTTGCTTGAAGGCTAGACCCAGCAAGGCTAAAAAAAATAATGTCTAGAGCCCGTGTTTGTGTCTTTCAATGACCATTAGCTGTTGGTAGCTATATCTGTAGGTATTGCAGCTCCTAGCCTATGCCCAAATAGTTAACTGGCCCACCTCATGCCTGCTGGGGGTTTTAATTTACTACATTCTGTTCACTAGAAACTTGAAATATATATTTTTTAAACTGTTGTATTTCCTCAGTAAAAGCTCCATGTAACCTAGTTGCCTGTAAACAGCAATTTCGAAACCAACAACATTAAATAATTTTTATTCATTTATTTACAAGTACAAATGAAAAATGTATGAAATGTCTTTTCCATTCCTTGTTATCATCTTGGCTGAAAGCTACTTGGAGGCTTGTAACTCTCCCAGCACTCTAACATGGAATGTCTGTGTTTCAAAGAATCATAACGGCTTTTTACTTTGATGATACGTGGCCGTATAAGATCTGTGTCTGTGCCTAACTCGTGCTTCAGTTCCTTCAGACCTTCTGTTCCTAAGTCAAAGTGCATCAAGAAGTATCTAAAGAAAATAAATATCGACAAGAACAAATTAAGGTTTTCCTACATCAAGATAATGTTAAGAATTCAATAATAATAGAAACTTTATTGTACAATTGTAAACCTCGCTACGTATGGGCAATTTACAAATGCAGCTTGAGATTGGATCATTCAAAAAAGAAAAGAAAGAAAGAAAAAAAAAAAGAAAAGAAAAGAAAAAACCCGACTGCATTAAGTCTGGGCTATCCCAATTCCTATTTCTATAACAAAAGATGTAATATGTTGCTCTAACAAAGGCTATATTTATCATTAAATGATAAGAAAATTTTTCTTGATTATATAAAGTTGCTGCATTTTATCAATGCCAATGTTATTCATCATGTCTAAGAACATGGAGCATTCATCGGAGAAAATGCCAAGAGAGCTCAAAGAGAGATTTACAAATTTCACACATCTGTAATTTCTACTCATTTCTTTGATCAAGTTCAGATATTTTTCTTTTTTACGCACTGCATTGTTATTAAGGTTACACTCGAAAGCAACTGTTAATTCTAGAACATATAGGCACTTGTAATAATA